AATATCACCTACAATTCCAAAATTACTCCATCTAATTTATCCCTCCCAAAATTTCAACCCTTCCCTCCAATTTTTCCACAAAGCTAGTACATTTTTCCCTCATTTTCGCCCACTACATATTCCCGCTTTCCTTTCCCACTGTCGATTCCCAATTCTTCCTGCCCGTGTGAAAGGCATCCTCACCACTTTTCAACCATTCGATCTTTCTCAAAACTCATACCGACATTAACTTCAACTGAGGATGACTACTAGAGTAAGGTGGAGTTCGATGCCTAGGGTTTCCAGATTACAAGATGAGGAAGATAATGACTGGATTGAGAACGGATATGAGGATACCGATGGGTCTCTTTGTGCAGATGATAATGAAGAACTTGATTGTGGAAAAAGGGGTCCCAACCACGGTAGCAACGCTTGTCCAGATGAAACAGGGATAATTCCTTTAACTGTGGGAGACAATAGGTACATAGCTAAACAATTTTTGTTTTTTGGATTTCAGTTTGAATGCAAAGTGGCATCATTGATTTTATATGGAGTGAATTACTGTGGGAGTTAGGAAGTATATTTTGGCTTCTCATGTCCATGTTCTAGTTAATAGAACATGGTATATTTTGGCTAGACTTTTTATTGTTCTTTTTTGATTCCAGAAATTCTGTGTTTTCTTTATGCATTTAAGTCTACATTTGCAATTTTGAAGTACCTTTGTGTTGTGATTTAGATGGCCGACAATTTCATGGATTATTCTCAATTTCTCCAATGATTGTTAGAGAAGGAGTTTAAATTATATAGAGTAGAAAAATGGGTCATCTGGTAGTATTTGGGGCCTTCAATTAATCTCAAATATCAGTGTGCACTGTAAAATTTTTAGATTCTTGGTTGAATTTCCTTTTTATCTGTGCTCAAGGCAATTACTCAAATATTTATCTGTGCTCAAGGTAATAATGGTTGCCAAGAAATGAAAAGTGTCGTGAAATTGGTGATTGCAATGTGGAGGTAAATTACAGATGTAGCTAGAAACAGGAATGAACCATGCAGCTGTTTTTTCGTTTTGTTCTTTTCGCTGAACCCCTTCTGGACACTAATGCTTTATTGGTATGCTTGATTTCAATTCACTATAAAATAACATGAAAAGGTCAGAGCAATATGCTACTCATGAATCCGGTCAATATGAATAAGCAAGCATCACCAGCCATGCAACTGATTCGTAAGTGTTGTTATCAGCTGAAGTGAACACGTGGGGTGGACTTAGTCCATTTTATTCAGTTTGTTTGTTGCTTATTATTTGTTGCATTTAATAAGCCATGCAGTGCTAATCTTTAGGTCCAATAGGATAGTGTTGTTTCCTCATCATTTGTATTATTTGTTATTCTTTCTAGCATTGTAAGACTACTATGTATAGTCGGGGTTTTGTTCAATTAAAAAGCAGGAAATGAACAGTTCAATTACTCCCTTCCATTACTCTCTTTCATTCTCTCTATTTCTTCTCTGTTTTCAGCATGAGAAATTAGGCAAGCCATCAACTGCTTCACAGTTATTCGAACGTTTGCACCATCGAAACAAAGGAGAAGAAGACTTTGTAGACAACAAGTCACAAATTGTGTGGGTAAGTAGAAATAAATTCAGGTTTTGATTAGACTCTACACTCTAAATTTCATGTTATTAGCTAACTAGTCCTAGACACTAAATGGTGGTTGGATAATTACCTTCTTGGAGTTGTAGTGGAATAATTATTTGCTCATGTACATTAAGTTACTCAGGAACTTCATAAAAGTACTAATATCACTACTTCATTTGTTCTATCATGTTTCTATATATTACTTGTCCTAATTTACGTCCAAGAAAAACAAAATTTTTGAACAAGTTTCATAAGTTTCTGTTAATTTTTGTTTGTAAGAACAATTTGTGAGGCAAGAGAACCTTTAAATCGGTCGATTCAGAAGTGGACATTAAAAATCCTAAAAGTTTAATCATTTTTCATGATGGAACATATTCTTAAATCAGTTATACTGCTGAAAGTAGCAGATTATGGGGCCATTTTAATTGTCATTATGTCAGGCATATTAATATTTTAAATGATAATTCTTGATATGGAACTTGGGTGACCAAATTGAACACTGTTGGAACCAAAAATCCATTAATCCATTTCTGAAATTAAAAGGTCCTAGAGCCCTGTGTTTTCATCTCATTATTTTTTTTTACAAATAGTTTCGTAGAAGTACGATTGTATCACTACTTCATTTGTTCTATCATGTTTCTATATATTCTTGGT